GGCCTAGATTCTGGTTTCCAGGTTCATTCCGGACGAGGTCGAGGTAACATCGTTCGGCGCGTTGAGGATACATTTTGGCCCATATGAGGTACAATTCTAGTGCAGTGTCCCGGTTAGAGTCGGTGAAGTGAGTGGCGCTGGACTGTGCCTGCATGGCGACTGAGTACTGAGCTACCGCCGGGTAATCTATCAACGTTTTCGAAAGACCAAAGTGTTTCCGAGAGACTCACTACGTCAAAAAGCGCGTTTTACACGTTTGGAATGTGTGTAAAAGACGCTGAAGATGCGAACTAAGGTGATTGTGGGCTCTTGAACGCTCGTCGGAAGGTGTTAACCTCTGCTGGCCTCATATACCTCCAACATGTAGCCCCATCAATGCCACAATCACAAAGATTCCTCGGTTATTGTGCATCTCTGACCCGAAGGTGGCATCAGGAGGAGTGTGAACCGTTTGTGCGTGTTGCCATATATGTAGGAGTTCAAAAGAGTCGAAGCTCCACGCACTTGGATATCCTTTGTTCACAATCGGAAATTGCCGATGGTCGGGCCGAGGGTCGAGACGACGCGCAACTGATCAGAACTCCCTTCAACTCCAACCGCGAATTGCTGACGCGCCGTGTGCGTCTCTTCGTCTCTCCGTCGCCCCAGGGACCCGTTCGTATAATCAACTCCCAAGACTGTGGCCGAAATGTTCGTGCTAGGTCGCCAGGACTCATCAATCACGTCTTGATTCTCCGACTACTCACCGGTTCCCAGGTTGGGAGTAACTACGCCTCTACACCTCTACGGGCGTCAACTCGTCATCGATGACAAGGCTGGAATATAACGAAGTGAAAAACGTACTCTGACGAGCTTAGCTTGTGGGCGGGCTGGCTGGCTGAGCTGTCTTGCGAGACCTTAACGCAGTATCAGCACGTTGCTATATACTCTGTGAGTCACGACTCGGTAAGTATCTTTGTGTGTCAGAGCCGAAATTTCTCTCCTGACTGTCTTGATCAGTGATTCACAAACTTATATGATCTTACCACGATGTTCTGACGCGCCACATCTCATCGCTTAAGAAATTCACGATTTGGAATCGATCGTAAAGCAAGATTTGGCCGATACATCGCCAGATTGTCATCTCCGAGCTCTACAAATCGTTTCCGGCGGGAGAGCAACTTTTCATATGGGCGCCACATCGGTGTCACTCTGTTCGCTGAGTTGATGGCCGGTTGATTCGATGGGGAGCGTGTTAACATTGATGCAGTAGTAGCGGGCCGTTTCTGTATGTCCTGTGAGTTGAAAGCTTTCTTTGTGTCTTACGACTGGACACGCCCTCCTGGAGTTCCTCATCGTATTTGTAGATGTACGAGCTCGGTGACCTTTACCCGATACACAAGCATTGATCCTGACTCATGAAGAGACTGATGGAGTTTCGGTTCAGCTTCCTTGCGATCTTGACGCGATATCGAAGGCCAAAACGCCTTTCAAGCCCGTTTGGCGCTGCGTTCCAACGTCCAGATCTGCAGTGAGTTCAAACCGTTCGAGCTGTTCTCTTTTGGATTCCCTTTCCCAATTCGTCTTGTTAGAACCAAACCGACGTTGCGAGCTATTGAGGCGATTCTTCACAGCTCCCTGAGCATTACAACTCAGTCGGTATGTTGAACTGCGAACGTTTGAACGTCGACGACTGTTAGGATGGAAACCCGATCCGTTACGGGTAGCGCGGGCCGTCCAAGCACGAGGCAGGGACAGAGTGATCGGAGTTTGAAACAATTTTTTCTGGCGAGTGCTGTGCTGGCAGCTGGCAGTTGTTGATTCTCGCTTTGCTCTTCCCCATTGCCATCACCCATCATCAGATCACCCATCACCAGCAGGTAATAAGGGTGTAATACAGTGCAAAAATGTATGAAAGCGACAGGTGAGTTTCCCTGACATTGTTTCACTACCATTGCCTTTTACTTTTCTCATTGTCGCGCGTCGCTCATGCTCTCTATCTAGGCAGGAAAATCAGAATCATTCTTCTCCTGGAGCCGGCGTGTTACGGCTATCAACACCACCGCTGGGGACAGGTTCAACAGCGAACGGAACAGCAGTCATTGACCCTGCATTGGAAGGCGAAACTGGTTCTGAAGCGCGATCTGGGGAAGCCGTCCCGCCCAAATTGAGACGATCCCCAGCACCACCGCAAGCTGCTGTACGGAGGACGAAGGAGAACGACTATAGTCCAACTGAGGTATGTTGCTCCTTCGCGTTTTCTCTCTTTCGTGTCGCTGCAAGACCGGACTTCCGAAGGTTGCAAGGGAGTGCTGTGCTGTTACCGAAGAGGACACCACACCTGTCGTTCCTCGATGAAGCGCGCTCTTTGCTCATTTGTCCTGGCTCTACCCGGTTCACTGAGTTGGCTGTCTCAGAACCATTGCTTGCGTTTATTTCAAGGCTATCTTACATGCCTTTTCACCTTTTTGGAATGTGGCAGAAAGGTTGATTATCGTTTATTTCGCTTCGTAGGAACATCCAAGTCTCTCGTCGAACTCAGCGGACCGGTCAACGATACAGCACCGTAGCATGCCAAAGTCCAATTCTTCAAAGCGTTCTGCCTCGCCCACCACCTCAGACGATGAATCCAGGCGGCCAGGTTCTAGAAACGGAGAATCTCGCAGTCAAAATGGTGCCCATCACGAATCTAGCTATCACTATCCTCCAATGCACTCTGGACATCCTCAGTATCATCCCGGACACGCGCCTCTTCCTCACATAACTCATCATGGCCATTATTACACTCATCCACCACCACCACCCCCGCCAGGCATGCACGGCTACAGCTATTATCCTCCCCCTCCCCCTCCAGGACATATTTTGCCCTACCCCGGACACCCGCACCAATTGCCCCCACCTCATTCGTACCCCCATTCACACCAGCTTCCCCACGCACAATCACCGACCTCGCCTCACTCCCCGCACTCCCATCCATTACCGCCGCACAATCAATTACCTGGTCACGGTCCCCTATCTTCACATAGCCCACGGGAAACCTACGGTCCAGGAGGTTATGTTTCCGGTACGCAGAGTAGTGGATATTCTCAACCGGGTGGTAATGTCTATCCATCTGGCGGCGGTTCTCCCGGTTCTGGGGAGATCACGTATACCGAAGATGCTGCAACCAAGTTGAGCGATAGGGTCAGGAGAAGGTGCTTCAACTGTGGCACGATAGACACCAGCACATGGAGAAGAAGCAACTTGAACCCCGGGAAGGTGGTAAGTACGACTTGTTGACCTTACGGCCTCATGTTCTTAACGAACTTTTCTAAGCTCTGCAACAAATGTGGCCTCTTTGAGCGGACTCACTCAAGGCCACGACCCGAACAATTTCCCCATAAACGGGGTCCTCTGACAGGCACGATGTCACAAGATCGGGGTTCACCCTTGTCGCCCAACAGCAATGCCTACCCCCAATCATCACCACTCGTTCCTTCCCAGGGACAATCTCACCTGGCGAACTCTCTACCATACCCTCTACAAACCAATGCTGCTCACCACCTACCTTCCTCTGGACACCCCTCCCCCCTCTCACATTCTTCGCACTCGCCAACAAACCCTCACACACCCCACTCACCTCATCTCCAAGGCCCCGCGTCAAACCACACGTCGCTACCTCCTTCTGGTTCATTGGCGTCACCAACAGGATCGTCGCCTCATTCTCCTCACCCACCTCACCACCTTCCTTCGTTCGCCTCTCATATGACTTTGCCACCCCCTCGCGGGCCGGTCGTGTCTTCGTCGGGGACCCACCTGCCGCCAATCAACACTGCGTATGGTGGTGGGGACGAGGGGAGGCCCTCGAGGTTGCCTCACATACAAACGATGGAGACGTGGCATGTGAACGGTGATGGTGCTCATCCTCGTGCCAATGGCCGTGTGCAGACCCCTTTGGAGGGTGATGAGGGGATGAAGAAGGGTGCTGCGAAGCGGAAACGAGGGAAGGGAGTGCCGAATGATCAGGACGAAGATGGGAGGGAGGGAAAGAGGGAGAGGACAGATCCTGGTCCTGATGTTGTTAATGGCCATGTAGCCCTCAAAGGGAACGACATATCAAGGGATGAACTTGAGGAAGACGAGGCAGAGGAGGAGGAGGAAGAAAGGGCCGCAGCTGCGGCTGTCGTCCTACGTGGAGAGGTTACAGACGAAGACGAAAAGTGAAAAAAAAGAGGTTCACCAATCCCAAGGGTTCCAGTGTGGTGTTTTTCCTTCTTGTCGTTCCGTGTTTCTATATTTCTATTTCCTTTATGCTCTCCCCTCGTTGTATTTTCCAAATGCCAACGTTTTTTAACGTTGAGCAGCAAATTGTCTTATATGTCCCCCCCTACCCTCGACGATATATATTTTATTCGATACCCTTTCGTCGATTCCTACCCTTCGAGACTTCTTTGTGACCTGCTTTTGTAGCCCTTGTTGCGTATCATACCCTCCCCATCGTTCGCTGTCAATGCTTTGACCACCTCCCTTCGGTTCTGATCCCCCGTCCCCTCGAATTAATGTTAACATTCCTGTTCAGCGTATATATGTATCGTCGTCGTTATGCGTCTGTAGGTTTACGATTCTCGGTTTGGACCAGAAATAAAGACGAATGCGCTTGATAACAGCTATGTGGCCGGATGGGGTACCGTTTTGTGGCTAACTTCAAGGTAATCGGTCATTGGTCGAGGTCGAGGTATCTTCCCGCTCAGAGCCCGCTCGTCGGGCTCGGCAGTTGATTCAGGTATGATACACGTAGGACTCTAGGATACTGCACATTAGGACGATACTCGCTACCATATGTACTACACGCAATGGCGAATAAACAAGGAATCGAAAAACAAAATTAAAAAAAAAGAGGCATACCTTTCAGGATCGTTTAAAATGGTTCGTAGGTGGCGGTAATCCCCGCCACGTTTGTTGACTATTTCATCTCTCTCACGGCAAGTGCCAAGTTGAGGAGCCAGTTCGACCGGGGCAAGATTATTATTAATAACCAAAAAGGGCCTCACTGGGAATTGAACCCAGGACCTCTCGCAGCGGTGTACACCCAAAGCGAGAATCATGCTACTAGACCATAAGGCCGCTGACATATAGTAAAACGTTCAGTATCATAATAGCAATTTAGGCCTTCCGTCAGGTGGGTGGCTTTGGCCTGAGAACTTTCGAAGTCCGACTATCGTGATTCTTGCACGAAGGCTCCGATATGTGAGGACCTGCAGAACACCTCGCACCTCGCACTCGCCCTAATTCTTCTTCTGCCCTTAATTTTAGGACATGCACTGCGATATTTCTGGCCATCGAGATTCTGACCATCGATTCAGATATGGTAGTGTTAATTCCACCCCCTCTCCAAGTCCCATGGCCAACTCCGAGCCCGTTTATCGCGCTATAGCGACTAACTTCGTCTTCTGACACCGAGGAGATCCCTCTAGAAGCGCTGCGGGGTCTTGAGGCTGAACAGTACGATCGCGATAGAAGTTCTACGACTCGAAGAGGTAAAGTACCGTTTTTTGACAACTGGCAGAACTCTGAATCTTACCATCGGAACGTAGCTGGTGTCGATTGGTGTGGCTTGGCTCGCTACCTAATCGCGAAATTCCCTCTGTCCATAGAACGGGCTGACGAAGTTGTTTCGTCTCCATATTATTTTCAAGAGTGACCACACTCCCTACGCCGTAGATTATGACCGAAAAACAATGGGAGGATCCGTAGTATAAGCTGAATACCCACTTTAGGGCCGTAGGTACCGAGCTCGATGAACCCAGGCTGATGCCTATCCGACTAAGGGGATCAGCTTCTCTTGGCTCCACAGCTAGAACACAGGATCAAAGAATTCCAAGTATCCTAGGCAAACGCAGTAGGAGATCCGTTTCTCTTGGCTCCACAGCTAGAACACAGGACCGAAGCATTCCAAGTATCCTAGGCAAACGCAGTCGTTACCGGTTCAGTGAACCTTTCGTATCCTCTGCTCTTCGCAACCCCCTTCCAGGCTGTGAAGCGAGGCATAAATACTGCCCGACTTCGTGTTGATGCGACCCGAACTCTCCTTGGCTACCTGGAACCTCCGCAGGCATGGGACCAAGCTCATCACCGGACATTCCAAACCTACGTGAACGGAGGCCTCCATCCTACGCTCTCGTCGACGACCCGAGTCCCCCGCCAGACTATTCTGCAAGCTTGGGACAGGGGGAACGCGTTATTCAGTCAACGCCTGGGTCTTCCTGTTCTCAACCGACGGGAACATTCAGGAGGGAGTCTGAAGGAGACACAGTGGTTTTGATGGGACAACCGGATGGAATATTGACACCAGTCTACGAGCAAGGTGGCGTCGTGAGTGGCTTCATTGAGTTAGATCCCACTCGACGGGACGACGTTGCAGAGGTCTCTGTAAAGGTCGGTGCTAATCTGCGGATGTTCATATTCGCTAACAGGAATCTTAGCTTGCAGGCTGTTTGAGGCTTCGTCTCCCCGGAAGTGCCTCGCACACCGTGAAGTTGATTCAGGAGAAACGCATCTTATGGGCGTTTGACTCGTCTCGACCCTCCATCTGCTCATCCACTCTACCCTTTGAATGCACGATTCCGTCCAAGTTCTCGGATATCACTCATGGAGCGGCATCAGAGTCGTTGCCTCCTTCCTTTGAAAGTGGTGCTCTGGTCATTGGTCCTTCGTCCCTCACCGCTTACTGTAGGTACACCGTTGTGGTGAAGATCACACGATCGTTCCGGCGGTTTGGAAAAAGAGTTACTATGAGGAGGAGAAAGCGGTGAATATTAGTTTCTCTATGCTGCATCAGTGCTAGACACTGACACTTTTTTTCCAGAATAGATATTCCATTCAGCTATAATCCACGGTCAAGACCTCCGTTTCGTACCTTTTCATCTCTAGATTCGCTCTCCGGCCTCAAGAGCGCCCCGGATGAATGGCACCAGAGATTGAGTGTGATACATCCCTGTGAGGACGCACTCCCCCCCGTTATCTGTCACGTACGGATTTCATGTCAGTGATTCGATGATCAGATACTGAGTTCTCGAATTAGCTCCTCATCCCTTCCAAAAGGGTATTCACGCTCACCGATCCCATTCCGTTCCATGTCCGGCTCTCTGGCTCTCATCTTCCGTATCGAGAACTTTGTACGATTCGAGGGAGTGTCCGCCATACACATGAGCCCTTCGTCCACGTGCACGTCCTTCGTCAAATACTTCTCGAAGCGAATGGGAGGAAAGATTGGAGAGAAGCCATAATCGGTCACGGAAACCTCAGCCGAGTTCATCCGGACGGAGGTACTGAAACCTCAATAGTGGGAGAAGAGAGTCTAAACTGGGAGGGACAGATCAAATTCCTTGAGAACTTGGCATGCCCCAGCTTTGCCGCGGGAGGGATTACAGTCAAGGTTAGTACTAGTGAATATGCCATAGTTGCTCGGGTAAAGGCCGCTGACCTCGAGAACGCGATTTTGCAGGATTTCGTCGTTCTGACAGTATCTCCAGGCTTGACTGCGCCAGAGATGTGCTCTGTTCAACGAGTCCATCGATCTATTGTTCCAGTCAAATTGGTAGCGGGCTTGTGATTTTATGTCTGCAAGTTCTCTCCACCCTCTACTTCACTGTACTAGCCCTCGTGTCTATTGTCGTTTTGCCAGAGTCCGAGTCTGATAGTTGTCGTCTGTGTCAATTTGCACTTGTAACAGGAACTCGTGCGGACCCATAGCCTTGGCAAGTGGTATCCCCTTCAGTTACGACGGTAACTTACGTTGAATTTCTGCTTTTAAACGCGATGAGTCACCTACCGATTTGAATGTTGCGCCACGTTTTGTTTCCGAGGTGAGTTGTCGGCAGTTGAACGTTGAAGTTGCACTGGCCACACCCGCTTAATCGTGGGTTCTAATGATTTCTTTCCACTATAACTTATCTCTTCCGGGTAGGACATGAAGGCCCTCGTGATGCTAGCCCGAGAATGACTGAAACAACCGGCAGCTTTGAGGGGCGTGGGAAAAATGACATTGTAAGGCCCGGAATGACAAACAGACGATGCAAACGTCCTCACATCCGAACCCCCATCAAGGAGCACTTCTCTGGCCACTCCCTCCGTGCGTCAATAGGAAAGTACCCAGAAGCTCTCAATAAATCGTCTATGTTACCCTGCTGAAGGACTCAAGCCATGGAATCTCACTCATCACCCCCACCTCATTACTCGGCTCATATAACAGACCCTTCCACTTCCCGCCGCCGCCCACCGTCGAGGAGAATGACCGAGGCTGATGATGAATTTCTGGTTTCATGGCTTGCAAAGAACAATCCAGATGGAATTGGGAGGAGAGGGCAACAGGTGTATGAGAAGCTTGTAGCAGAGGTATGTGTTATCAGTCATCTATTAAAAACTGTTGCGGAACGTTTCTCAGCTGCTGAGGCGTTTGGGCTTTGGTTGTTGGGCACTCGTAGTCTGGGCTCTTTCAACTCATTTTGACTTTCCATTAGCATCCAATCGGTACAGATATATGCTCAAGTACTTGGCGAGAACGGTACATCCGAAATAGGGAATATTTCGACCCCCTCATACGCCAGTATCTCATCGACAATATGCAATCAGACGATGCTGCTGGTAGCTCCACGAAGATTCCACCTGCGATTCAACCTTTCACATCAGACGATGAAGCACTTCTGGTAGAGTATCTCGCAAACAATGCCCACCCTGATGGGAAAGGTCTGACGGGTCGTGTGTATTATCAACATCTCAGTGCCAACGTAAGTTCTGGACGACCGTTCATCGTTCATTGCTTCATAGATTTGAACTCGCTCGTGACCACAGGCAGATGGCACATGTCCGGGAGGAACAAAACATTCCTGGCAGACATGGCGCGACCATTATGTTTCTAATACCGAGAGGTTGAACAAGCTTATCGAATCGTACCGCTCAGCTCATGGCATAAGACGTAGCCCACGTCAGAGCGCTAGTCGATCAGTTTCGGGCAAATCCGAACAAGATCTTCTATTTGCGGGGTTTCTCGCAGAAATGAAAGCCGAAGGTGTGACTGCCTTCGGTGGCACGACAGTGTATCAAAGGCTGTTGGACGATGTAAGTGGACTCAACTCCCTTCATGTCGTCGGACATAGCTGTTTCATTGTCGACTCACTATATCCGGCGCACTTTCCTCTTCTTCAAGGAAAACGGCAAGTGGCCATGGGGCAAACAGCGCAGCCTTCATGGCTGGAAATCCAGATATCAAGCTTACAAGCCCATGCTTGAGCCTATGATCAATGCCAAACTTGCTGAAATCACCTTAACGACGTCACTTTGCCCTTCATCTCCAAGCCCACCCGACAGCACGACGTCACCCGATAGCTCGGAAAGCTTGGAGGACAATACTGTTACACCAACCCAGGCCCTCGAGCAAAACTCACGTACACCAGACCCCGACGACCGTTCTCCATCCAGTTCTTACCCTCTCATTTTGTTATCCCCAAAATACACGACCGACAGTGACACCCCGTCTTCGCCACGTGTTGAAAGCACGACGGGGCTGTCGCTCTCTCGATATTCCGAGACGAGACCGGATCCAGATGACCCTCTTTCGCAAGCCGTTGCTGCGGTAATATCGCAAGTGCCAACATACGGACTGTTTACCCGCCAAGATGATACGGTTCTTCTAAAGTACATGGTTGAGAGAAGTATCCAAGCCAAACCTGGCAAGAAGAAGCGGCTTGGCGACATCTTCGACGCAATTGACGTTTTTCAGGACCTTACGAAAACGGTGCCGGTAAGCATTCATTTCCTTAATCTTTCCCCATGAAGAAGGGGTGAGGTGATCACAACAGGAGCTGATACCTATTTCTCTATTGCTTAGGCTGCTGGGAGGCACACGGCTCAGGCCTGGAGAACACGTTACATGAAGCACAAGTTACAGTTTGACCGCCTTGTCGATTCAATGAAAGGCCCAATTGAACGAGCGCGACGCCAGGCGTCCAGCCGTGATTCCATATCAGACATATCTTATGGCACAAAGAGACAAATAGGGGACGATGATCTAATAGGGCGACCGAAAAGAGCAAAGACATCGGGGAGAGGCGGGAATCGGAAACACA